TATCATAACATGTTATAGCTACACCAGGCCCCCTAGAACAACAAGACACTTGAACTTATAAATTCAAATGAAACATGTGTGATACTGCTATATTGCTACTTTGTAGCCTAGAGAGATACCCACATAACATACTGAAGAATCATTAGCATAACAAATAGAGGAGACATACCAAGGAAAAAACAAATTAAGGGGCTATGTGGTGACAGATTGGCAATTAAGAGCCAACAGCCTGCACACTCTAAGGAAAACTCCCTGCAGCCATACTATTCAAACAAATGTAATTAAGTAAATATCAGAAATTTAGCAAGTGTGTGGAACTTGGAATGTGCATGTACCTGGAGAGTTCAATTCTTTTTTTTTTAATGTGTATATGAAATCAAGACTTGTGCACCTGGGTAAGATTATCATCTATATGAGAGACTTGCATGTCCAATAACTTCATTATTTTTGTTACGATTAAAGTTCATAGAAGACGTTTCTTAGAATCATTTGCTCTATTGTTTGCATATATCATTTTCCGTCTAAAGGGCACTTGTATGAAACTGGACCTGTACCGATATAAATATTGTCTGGGAAGTTCCGATTGTCATAAATGGTAAAATAACCAGTTAATACATGAGAACAATAAATCATAGCAATTCCAAAACACCTTCTTTCCTGTTTCCCTTGCCACTTTCTTCAGAAACCAAAAATAAAGTTGTAAGAATAGTGATGAGAAATATATGCATTTATTTTCCCAAAACCAAAGCAGTTCATCAGTATATTACATATCATAATGTACACAATACCTCTACACCATACATAAAAACATGCAATCATACCAAGAACATTCATCTAAACAATGCCACGTACTCTTTATCGTGAGAACCTGAATTATGATTAACAAAATGATACGCCCAAAACAGTGTATATACATCAATCACGAATATTTTTGGCCCATTGGATAAATCTGAACCCGAGTTTGACCCAATCATCAATCTTTTCCTGACAAATAAACATTCCTAAAACCCTGACACAAGGCTTCATCCCCCAAAATCATTTGTATAAACGAGGGAAATGTATTCAACGTCTTCCAGATTAAGAAAGACAAGTTATAAAAACTTTGTAATTGTACCTGTAAATTGTAGTGAAGAATTATTTTTCGCCCAAAAATTTCAATGTTGTTGACACTCCCGCGGCTGAGCTGTGTCCGATTCCGTTGCTGAAATAATAACTTTTGAAACTTTAAACAACGGAAATTATTTGTATTTATATTGTGACTATATTGTATACATTTAACTGACGGATTATCGTAAAAAAAACTTCAGGACGAATATTCAACGAATAATCGTAGATCTATATATGTGTTCGGATTCCAACGCTTTCGGATATGTACTTGAATTTTGACACGCACACGCACATGCACATATACACACACAGGCACAAGCACACGCACACGCACACAAGGTCTTTATAAGTACTTATATAACCTTGCACGCACACACATGCACACATTTACTCACACCCACTCACTCACACATACACACACGCACACGCACACACACACACCACACACACCACACACACACACACACACACACACACACACACACACACACACACACACACACACACACACACACACACACACACAACACACATACACACACACACACACACACACACACACACACACACACACACACACACACACACACACACACAACACACACATACAACACACACATAATGACAACAATGATAATAATGATAATAATAATAATAATGATAATAATAATAATAATAATAATAATAATAATAATAATATATAATAATAATGATAATAATAATAAAATAATAATAATAATAATAATAATAATAATAATAATAATAATAATAATAATGATAATAATGATGATAATAATAATTATTATTATTATAATAATAATGATAATGATAATAATAATAATAATTATAATAATAATGATAATGATAATAAGAGATAAAAGATAATATAATAAAGATAATGATAACAACTATAATAATACATAACATTAATAACAATAATGATGATGATAGTAATAATAATGATAGTAATAATAGTAACAATAATAAATGTCATTATTATATTATTAATTATTATCATTATTATTATCATTATCATTATTATTATTATTTATCGATTATTATTGTTGTTGTTATCATTATCATTATTATCATTATTATCATTATCATTATCATCATTATTATTAGTAGTATTATCATTATTATTATCATTATTATCATTATTATTATCATTATTATCATTATTATTATCACCATTATTAGTAGCATTATCATTATTATTAGCATTATTATTATTATAACAATAACGATAAGGATATATATAACTATGATGATAATTATAATAATAATAATATTATGATAATAATGATAATGACAAAAACAATGATGATGATAATAATAACAGTAATAACAATAACAATATTTGTAATGATGTAAACTGTAAAGAAAATAATCCTCATCATCCTCATCATCATCATAATAGTAATAGTATTAGTAAAGATTAACAATAACAATGATCATGATCATGATATGATAATGATAACAATAAAATCGATAACAGCAACAGTAACAATAATGATGATAATGATTATCATTTTTTACAGTTATTTTTCATATTATTCTTATCATATACCAATATCATTTTGTCATTATAATTATCAAACATCATTGTTATTATTATTATCTTATTATTATTATTATTATTATTATTATTATTATTATTATTATTATTATTATTATTATTAATAATTATCATTATCATTATTATATATCTTTATCATTTATCATCACTATTATTATCATCATCATTGTTACTATTATTATCATTATCATCACACCACATTATTATTATCACCATAATTTATCATTATTATTATCAATACCATTATTGTTCTTATCATTATCCTAACTGTTGTCAATGTTATTATCATTACTGTTGTCATTATCATTATCATCATTATCATTATCATTATTGTTATATTATCATTACTGTCATTATTATCTTTATCATAATTATTATCATTATTATGATTATTACTATTTTTACTATTATCATTATTATCGTTATCATTATGTTTAATGGCATTATCATTACTGTTATTATTATCATTATTATCACCATTCTTCTTATCATTGTTATATTATTATCATTGCTTTTATCATTATCATTATAATAATTACTGTTAGTTTTATTACTATCTTATTTTCATCATCATTGTTACTATCAATATCATTATTTTTTATTACCATTATCATGATCATTATTGTTAATGTTATTATTATTATCATTATCATCATCATTATCATCATTACTGTTACTATTATCATATATGTTATTATTGTTATTATCCTTATAGCATTATTATTATTACTACTATTACAATCATTATTATTATTGTTATTAATATTATTATTATTATTATTACTATTATTACTGCTGTTACTATTATCATCACTATTACTATAATTACTGCAATTATCATTATGATGTTATTATCATTATCATTATTTTCGTTGTTATTGTTGCTATCATTATCATCATCATTGCCATTATAATGATTATTGATAATGATATCATCATTATCATTATTCTTCTTGTTATCATTATTACATAGGCGTAAAAGGGGGCCAGGGGTCCCCCCCCCCCTTTAGAATGGAGGAGCGAGGCCTGATCTGTGACATTCATTACACGGACATGCGCATACACAGAAATAAATGCATATCTATCAGTCTATACATGCGTATCTACTATAGAGCTAGAAAAATAAATGTATATTTATTGGATAGATCGATAGATATGCACTTATTTCTGTGTATATGGATGCCTGTTTATGCGGATATTAGTTGGGTCGGGTCTGGCACAATTTTAACAATTTTCTCAGTAAACGAACAAGCAGTACAATAGTTACAGTAGTTACCGTGTTGTTAAGAACCTCACCCCCTGCAACTGAGAGGGCAGTTACAACTGCGCAGGATGTTCAAAATTAATTAACCATGGTGCCAAATATTATCTAGAGAAAAATGTCTGACATTTTAGTGCAAAAATTAATGAGTTTATCTCTATAGAATTGATAAAATTTAGGACTTTCTGGGGGGCTTCACCCCCTGTTCCCCCACCTGGGTGCTGACCCTGGGCCTGCAGCCCACAGGACCTCTGGCTATTTTGGGGGGAGCCCTGAGAGAGGAAACCTACATTGCCCTCCCCCCCCCACTCACTTCAAAATACCTTCCTACGCCCATTGCTGTCGTTATTATTGTTACTATAGCTGTTATTACTATTACCATTTTGATTATCTAGATATCATTGTCTTTATCCCACATGATACGAGTTTTGATCTGTCGCTAGTTCTGCTTTTGGAATACCCCTTTCTATAATCGTTTATCGACCAGACATGCTGTTCTATAACAAGAATGCCGGCTACCATCGCTGAATAACTAGCGCGGGATCAGGACGAAGGGAAACAAAAAATAGACGAGTCCCCCTCCCATAGGTCACATGATTGGTGTCGCGCGAGAAATGTAGCCGGGATAACGTTTGTAAATAAACAATTAATTTTCGTTTTTGCAATAGTAATGTTATTGTGTCGTTTCAATGCTTATTTCATCAATTAATTGTTATATATATGCATTTTGAACTATAAGGAATGGTATCATTATCAGTTCGTTGTCGTCGGATGAGAAAAAAAGAAAACGGTTATTGTAATGAATATTGCACTTTTTCAATAATGCACATGTCCAAAGGAATTACAGTAAAGAACACGATATGGAAACGCCCCTACTTCTTAAACATGTCATGAAACAAGAATATTTATGGTAAAAAAGACTGTTACTTCCAGTTAATTATAAAATACGAAGAAAGTCATTCTTTTCGCTATCTTGCTTTCGTTATCTAATGCATAGTGCTTGAGAAATCATCAGCGAGAGGGAAGTGAGTCACGGAGACCGGCGAGGGAGGGAAGGACGGCTGGCAAGGTGCCGAAAGAAGGACAGCATCTCTAGGTATAATAATCTGGTATTTCATGTGTGATATAGCACTGCATTTTGTTTACAATCTGTTAATTTATGTGATTGTCATCGATGTCAGTTTAGTCACGGCTTTGCAAGCACTACATATTGCTGGGTCATCCTTTTTTGCCAGTATCAGAGATGACTCCTGTGAAGACCCATTATATATTGTGTTAAACAGTAGTTCGTATTCTCAAGAATTACAAATGCGCTTTATTTATGTTCTGCTTTATCATGCCTGTACCGTGTGTCTGGAGACCAAATCCTGGCCGGTTGCGCAAAAGCTTTCGAATGCTAATAGATTAGTTAGGAAAATAATTTGCATTACATGAGAAGCAGTATTGTAAAATTGGTATGTTGAAATTATGCAAGTAGATATCCTAATATCACAATTTGATATTGTGTTATTTGGTGTTCATTATATAGTTCACAAGGCTATTTTCAGGGAAAAGTACTATTCATAGTTCTTAGTTATTCATTTTCTAATTGAGAAAATTGTCGGTAATTCTGAGTAAGAGAGCCGTGCCTATTTGTTATGTTTGTTTTCTCCTACCCCCTTCAATCTTGAAAATTGGGGTTGAAGGGGGGGACACACACAGGAGAAATAGTGGAATCAAAAGTGAAAATTTTGAAAAAAATGCAAAATCAGAATGAGAGTCCGGCGCCGCTGCAAAATGTACCACGCTGGTGTCAAGTGTTGCCGAAATCCAGACGAAATTTCTTAATCTAACCTGATCCGGACCCCTCTTCCCTGGGGTATATCCTTACCAGAGGCAAGCCCCCGGACCCCCTTCTCTGGGTATTTCCTCACCCTTTTCCTAGGGGTTATTTCGCCATACAAACGAAGCATACCTTCCTAACCCCCTATTGGGGGCAAGCCCCAGGCACCCTTCCCTGGGGGTACTTTTCAGAAAGCTCTTGAGACGATTCGAGACATCAAGGGTTGTGGACTCTTAGAAAGGCAACCTTTGAATCTGAATTAAAGCACAACAAGTGAGGTCCGACAATTTTGTTAACTTCCCCGACATGTACGAACATTAGTTAGAATTCTATTATACTTTCCTCTGTATATGTAGTACAGCTGCCTTAATTAGTATTGCCAAATTGTCCACTATCCCTATATATTAAATTAATTTTGGTTTTGGTAATATTGTAGAATAGTTCCGCTTAACGGATTGCACAGCTTTTGGTATCAATGGGTTCTGCTCACTCTGTATAACCCAAATATATAAACATTATTTTGCAAACCCCCCTCAACCCCCACTCTCTTGGCCCTGATAGCATGGGAGGGCATGAAAGGTGCCAGGGAAATTGCAGGGTAAAATATAGATAATATATACAGAATCACTTACCTTATTCTCCTGTGACCCTTCCATGGGGGGGTTGCTGCCTCCCATGCAAGGGTCACAGATTGTGGCTAATGGAGGGGTTTCTGTGCAATAGTTTCTATATATTTTGATAGTAAAGAGTGAGAGGAATCCATCGATACCAAAATTGTTGCTGTCCATTAGATGGAACTATTCTGTAAAATTGCCTTGGTTTTGTATTTAGAGTTTGTTTATACAATTGTTGTAGATTTATATTTTTGATTATGAGTCGGCACTTATATTAGTAATGCAAGTTCAAATTGAAATGTCAGGACAATTATTTAACTTCAGAGATTCATGCCAGAGGATGTCTCACCTTGGCGAACAGGACCTAAATTATCCAAATGCCGTATGACTGCTATCTATGCCATTTGCAGTGAGGCCTGCTCTCAGTTATGTGTTCTAAGCACTTGTTCACTTGTTTAACCATAACTGCAGTCATTGATGAGGAAATGCAGCCTCTTAAAAGTAGGCCTGGTTTCTTTTTTGCCTCATTTCATTAGAGAAGCATGTATGCTGCAGCCAAATACATTGAGAGCAGATGTTTCACACTGTGTTCAGCTTGGTTTGCTGCAAGAAGTCCTATCATGAATAGGGTAAAGATTAGGCTAGTTCCTGGATTTTGCAATGTTAAGTGTTGTAGTACATAAGTGTATTAGATGCAAATGTATTTGAGACTTTGTGTTAGCAATAGTGTCTTCTAATTTATTTATGGCCATTATTTATTAGATCTGTATTTTTTCCCAGACAATATGGCAGCGGAAAAAGAAGTTGATATCTATCGTGACACTCCAGTCCGATTACTTGGTAAGTTACTTGTTAATTGACTGAAATACTATAAATTTATTAGTGTAATTAATATCTTTGATAATCTATTGTACCTATGATTCATAGTAAATAGTCACCATAGAAGACATGTTATAATGATATACACTCATTGTAAAGTTATAATCCTAAAAATATGAACCATGTTAGTAAGATATTTATGCAAAAAGGACCATTTATTACTTATCTGCTTACATGCACACACCCACACCCACAATCACACACCCACAATCACAATCACACACACCCACAATCACAATCACACACACCCACAATCACAATCACACACACCCACAATCACAATCACACACACCCACAATCACAATCACACACACCCACAATCACAATCACACCACCCACAATCACAATCACACACACCCACAATCACAATCTCACACACACCCACAATCACAATCACACACACCCACAATCACAATCTCACACACACCCACAATCACAATCACGCACACCCACAATCACAATCACGCACACCCACAATCACAATCACGCACACCCACACCCACAATCACACACACCCACAATCACAATCACACACACCCACAATCACAATCACACACACCCACAATCACAATCACACACACCCACAATCACACACACCCGCAATCACACACCCACAATCACAATCACACCAATCACAATCACACCACCCACAATCACACCCACCCACAATCACAATCACACCCACCACAATCACAATCACAATCACACACACCACAATCACAATCACGCACACCCACAATCATACAATCACACACACCACACACACACACACACACACACACACACACACACACACACACACACACACACACACACACACACACACACACACACACACACACAACACACACACTTCTCTCTCTCTCTCTCTCTCTCTCTCTCTCTCTCTCTCTCTCTCTCTCTCTCTCTCTCTCTCTCTCTCTCTCTCTCTCTCTCTCTCTCTCTCTCTCACTCACTCACTCTTCTTCTCTCTTCTCTCTCTCTCTCTCTCTCTTCTCTCTCTCTCTCTCTCTCTCTCTCTCTCTCTCTCTCTCTCTCTCTCTCTCTCTCTCTCTCTCTCTCTCTCTCACTCACTCTTTCTCTCTCTCTCTCTCTCTCTCTTCTCTCTCTCTCTCTCTCTCTCTCTCTCTCTCTCTCTCTCTCTCTCTCTCTCTCTCTCTCTCTCTCTCTCTCTCTCTCTCTCTCTTCTGACATTCTTTGAAAACTCAAAAAATCTATCCTCTCCATGCTTCTTCTTCGCATTCATCATAATCATCTTCGACAAAGGCCATCTTTTGGCATTCTTTGTAAAAACTAAAAATCCACCACAAGCAGTTTCTTCTCTTCTTATTATTCCTTTCCAGTTACCAAAACAGTTCCATCTTGGTTGTGATACAGATGATTCAGTATTCTGAAATATTTTACTAGGCATGTGCGAAGGGGTGTAAGGGGCACGAACTTTGAAGTTTTATAGGTGAAATAATAATATATTTATGATTATTATCAGTCCTTTTTTACTTTTGTTTATGATCGTAATTATAGTACATTTTCTGTATCTTATGTATGTGTAAATCTTTGATTGAAAAATTGGCTGGAAGAATAAGTATTGTCATAATTTACCATAATTTGCATTCTTGTATAGATATGAAGCTTATGAAATATTTCCTCCCCCTTGTAGGTTATGCTAATGAAGTAGGTGAAGCTTTTAGAGCCCTGACACCTTTGTGGTTTGTTAGGTCAACATATGGAGTTGCATCAGCATATGTTATTGCAGACACATATGATAAGTCAACAAAAATGAGCAAGGTAAATAATTAACAGTACTAAGTAATGAACTGATATTGTTGTGTTTGATTTGCATAAAACAAAGATAAGCCATATACAATTTTAGATCAGAGCATTTCATAAGTTTATGTTGATCATCTTCAGCAACCAGGTGCTACCCAGCGTGCTATCACTCATGCCGCAGTGGACACACTTCTTTGGCAAGCCTTTGCATCAGTGATTGTACCAGGCTTTACAATCAACCGTGTGTGTGTGCTGCCTCCTTTATACCATGGCCAAGACTATTCCGAGAATCCCTCTGACAACAAGAAAATGGATAACAACAGCTATTGGCCTAGGATGCATTCCGTTTATTGTTCATCCAATTGATAGTGGAGTTCATTTTGTAATGGATAATTCTGTACGTAGGTATATGGATCTTGCCCCAAGAGAGGAAGGTCAGGAATAAATTAATAGAAAATCACTATTCATGGACAGAAGGCTCAAGTAAGTGTTGATATTTTATTTTTGGTTGCCAAGGAATGCTTAAATCAACTGTATTTGTATATTAAAAGCAAAATTGTTTTATCTGGTTTTGAAATTGTCAGCAGTGTATAAGTAACAATTACTACTGGAATTTTAGATTTTTAAATATTTTTGTTTAGAAAAGTATTTTTTAGTCAATGGCAGACCGGAGTACATGCATGTGTGCCTTAATGTCTTTAGGAAAAATATGTAAAA